TAATCTCAGCTTTATGGATATGGCCAACAACTTTACTGTTTTGGATTACTCTCGCTCTCATCAACCCCATTTCAGCCGCAGCAGGCAGGCAGTTTTCAACGAAAAAGCTTTCATAAACCTCACCTGCTCAACGCCAAACAGCAGACAAAGTTAGCAACTGCCTTGTGAACATAGGATCCCCCAGGAGATTGTGGAGATCAAAACAGAGCTAAAAGGAGAGTGATTTGTTGAACTTTTCTTTGCCAGGTTGCCAGAACACAACTCCAGATGCTAACGTTGTACAATGTAGATAAGCCGGTGGTTCCCAACATTTTTAGACCATGGCACCCCTTCGGAGGGCATGCTTTGTCCTGCCACCCAACCCCCAATATAACTCACTCCTTAACGTCCTCTTTGTTGTCTTAACCAACCAAGCTGCCTGGCATTATATGCCATTGATTTCATGTGATTTGTTAATTCACAAACTGCAGCTGATAAGTGTCATTTAAAGAGGTTGACCTCCTTGCGTGTGAGGCTTGGAGGAATGCTGTGTCCCCATTATGTTGGAGAGCGTGGGACTCTGTTGCCTGGTGTAGGGAGGCTAGGATGACCTTCAGGAATGCTTTTGTTGTGTACTCTATTGCCTCTCCAAATGCACCATGCTCCATCAGACTGATGGTCCTTTTTAGCAGAATGCGATATCAACGGGTACCAGGGGCGAGAGAATGGAGAAGAGGTCCATAAAAAGCCCCAAATGAAAGGCTGTTCTCTCTGCTCCGTCTCCCCTGTCCTGTGCTGGAACGGCAGGAATGTGTCAGGCAGACCTACTGGATCTTGGAGCCTTCAGCCCTTAATGAATTTTAAAAGGCCTTTTTCATTCAAAGTAGGCTGCTAGCTAACAGCATGTCGCCTGGCCAAACACTCAGGGGAAATGGAGGAGAATGGAGAGAAGAGGAGAGGAGCATAGACGGTTGGGGGGGAAAGGAGGAGGAGGTGCTGGCAAAGTGAGTTGGCACCTAGGCAGGGTGGGGTATTGGATGTCCCTCATGGTGAGAGATAATAGGCCACTCTGCATTAGAAGCCACTGTAGGAGCATTCTTGACCCTGCCACAAGGGTCTAAAGAGAATAGAGGGAATGTGAGAAACAACAAAAGAATGAAAGTCGGTGAAGGAGGAGTGGAGAAAAGGGCCAGAGAGGGAGAAGACAAAAAAGAAACTTGAAATGTCCGACCCGATGAAGCAGTTGTTTGTCATTTTAGGAAAAATGCTTATTGCTTTCTTGCCTGGAGTTAGGTGAAAATATTGATGCGATTCTTAGTTCTGTATGGTAAACATGATTCTACAGACAGTCAGTCAATGTTTAGCTTAGCTTTTTTCAAAGACCGGGAAAGGGGAAACCACGAGCGGTATATACTGTACAGACAGGAAATTGCTATCAATCAGCTTAAAGGAACAGTGTCTTAGGGGGATCTATTGGTAGAAATGGAATATGCCATTATTAATGTTTTCTTTAATGTATAATCACCTGAAAATAAGAATCGTGTTTTTGTTACCATAGAATGAAACTTTTATTTACCTCATACGAAGTGGATCTCATGGAACCGGCCGCCAAGTTTCTATTGTAGCCCAGAACGGACAAACCAAACACTGGCTATAGATGGGGCCCTGCACATTTTTGTGTTTTTGCATCGGCCACCGTGGTTCTCCTACACACTTGGAACAAGGAAGTAGTTTATGTTAGTTGCAATCTGCAACCTCACCACGAGATGCCCCCAAATCCTGCACACTGCTCCTTAAACAGTATATTGACCTTTTGTCTCAACGATAATGAGCACAATAACTTCAACAAACCAGAAAGTCAGGTATGTCTTTGTCAATACTCAAAGACATACCTGACTTAGTGATTGATAGACCTGAAACTGGTAACTGTACCCAGATGATAGATTTACTCATCTGTAAATGCAATATGAATCACATGAGGAAACATTAAATTAATTCTTAATCTTCTGCAATTAGCAGTGTGTCTGCGGGAAGCTGTTTAGGACTTGCAGCGGCATGCTAATTGTTTTGTCTTACAGCACTTAATACTCTGCCACAACCTATAGCAAAACTCATGAACACACATTCATTTCATTAGACTGATGAAGATGGCTAAATAAGAAGAAATGAGACTGAAATGTCATTTGCAGCTTAATTGTAGAAAGTTTTTCGAGAATAGTGTGATCCATCTATTCAGCTATTGTCTGATTGACAAACGTGTGTCAATGACTTGAAATTAATGAACAATGGTTTACGCCAGGCCTGATGTGTTGCCAGCTGAGCCAGTAGGATACCTGTAGCTGAGCAGGTGCATCCCTTTATGGCAGCTGTAGTCTTTGAATACTTTCAGTACAAACAAGATCTACTCCAATAAGTCTCAAGCCAACGAGACAATTTGGGATGAAATGCAGCGATATGTAGTGTTTCTGTCCAAATCCAAATCCCCATTCGGTTGCTTGGGACTTTGAATGCATGCTTTAGAAAGCAGAATGGACCCATTCCCTTTAGATAAAATATATTTGCTGATTTCTCTTGGTGCTACTACTCAGAACATAAATCCTGTTGCCAAAAAGTGCCTTTAATCCAGTACAACCTATCCAATTTTTCATTTTGGCACGGGCCCAAAGATAGCCAGGGGTGCTGCAATGTGGAGCTGGTTCTCAGCAACTGCCTCCAGTCTGTACCTGCAAAACCTCTGGAAGGCATAGTAAATGGGTCAGATTCAGCTCACACTCTGTTGGAATAGACTGGATGATACTGTCATTGGCTCTAAAGCAACAGATTGATAATACTCGAGGTCTGCTCTGTGAACATTTAAGTTGGGTGATTATTCTAATCGTTCTAGTGTCTTTTTGTAGTCCGTATTCATGATATTTTTCAAATGTAGTTTCTAGTCTGAGGAGGGGGCCTAAACACCAATTGGGTCACATCACCTCCAGTGATGTCAGAGGAAATGCCAGAGAGCTGAGGTAAGGAGCTGCTTCCTACAGTCCTGCAGATTCCTGGGCAGACGACCACTGTGATAGTAGAGGCTCCAGTAAGCTACAGACAGAAGAAGAAAGGAAAAAGCTGTGGCTGATGACTGTTGTGGAGACGCAGCACAGCGTGTATAATGATCGGTCTTGTTGGGAAAGGTGTTTTCTCTTAAATGTGTTTTGGTTATATACTCAATATGATCTGGACAGGGTGTTAAACATAAGTTCCCTGCTCTCCAGTTTGGCTGTGCAAATCCGGCCTCGCTGATTTCACAGACCCGCAGACGAGGTCATCATTCCATTAAGTGTTTGAACTGACTGAGTTTGTGTCACAAATGATGAATCGGTGATTCAGCAGGAATACCCTGGCTGGGACCAACTGAGACTACACAGTAATGGGATGATGAACAAACATCAAAAGCACAAATTCTCTCTGAATCATCTGAGTTGTTTACTTCCTCAGAATCTGACTCAACCTTTGATTTGCCACCCAACAGACCTAGAAGCCAAACTAAATGAATAGCAGAGAGTTCCTTGGCGCTGCCTTTGCTTGCACATACAAAAAATGAGGGGCATTAACTGGTACCTATGCGTAATATGCTGCTGTTACTGTCAAAGCTATTAAGAAACCACTCACCCATTGGAAGGACGCTGTGTTCTTCTTGATTAATTGAAGTAGAAAGATGAGCAGGATCTCTGCAGTAAGGATGAAACATAGAGGAGGAAAGTTTGATTATCCTTTGGGAATTCACTTTCTGTCTTCTGGAAAGGGAGTGTCATTGTTGTTGTGGGCCATTGAGTCATAAGGTCATTTACAGAACCAGTCATGCAAACAAACAGCTTTAAACACTAATAAATGTTGTTATTGAATATACACTCAGTAGCCGGATTATTAATGTATGTACACCTAGCTAAAACTAATGCAGTCTAATACAACAGCCCTGCCTCATTTCTGAGGATGCAGTTTGTGGTGCTGTTGAACTATATTGCGTTATAACGTTATTTGGCCTACTCTCATTGATATACATGGGGTGGACCAAATAGTAGAAACACCTTTAGCTTGGAGTACCTACTGAACTGGCAACTGAGCGTATCAGGTCATTACATATTCATTTGTGCAAAAGCAAAGGACAGTTGTGCGCATACAGGCCTTTATCAAGGAAGTGCATGGCAGTCTACCTGGATGACCTCATGGTTCGGCTGTCCACAAATGAGGAGAAGCAGAAGCATTGTGTTCGGCAAAAAGCACTGTGAGCAGGCTGAGGTCATAGTGAGATAGGGCTTGTGGAAACACTGATGCACTCGCTAACATGGCTGGCCTTGGAAATTAGTCCCGCAGGAACCCCAAAAAACAGGATGGTAAAATCACACTGGGCGGTCAGACAGGAGAACAGACCAGCCAAAGTTCAGCCAAAAGAAAAGACTTGCTCGTCGCTCACGTTTTAATTTCAGCAGAGATGACATGCAGGTGAAATGTGGTTGGCCCCTCATTTTGCATCCAGGGAATGCATTTCATTATGTATGCCACGCTTTCACTTCCACAATATAAATATGTGAAAGATGGATGACCCAGAACATGAGGACAGGGAGATGCTTTTTTTTCGAGTTGATGTTGGTCCTTCAGCATACCTATTTTCCACAGCCACCGCCATGTAAAAGTTTGAAAGTACTTTCTCCAAAATGACATGGTTCGTTAAAATGTCATAGCAACCTGTTGGAGAGAGGTTTTGCTTCATTGAGGTTTTGCTTCATTGTGCTCAATCATATGGATACTGCTCAACACTGTGCCTTAAAGAAATCCAGTAAATATCCTCAAACTGATTTTCATCATCTTGTTTAGAGATGTCTACTTAGAACTAGACCGTATCATTATATTCCCAAAGATAGGAAATGCTGATGGTTTGTACCATTTGGTGGTGTAATGTACATCATCACATTTCAGTTTTTGTTTAATTTCCGCAGATGTTTTAAATGATATCTTGTTTTTGTCCTTTGTGGTCGTTCCAGACGGAGGCAATGAACAAAGCTCTGAAGGATTTGAATCTGAACATTGTGGAGATGACTGACGAGAAGGCCACACTGGATGGAGGAGATGTGCTTTTTACAGGTACAACTGTCTCCTCAATCATTGTATTTTGTTGAACACCTAAAACTTCTGCGCCATCAAACAGCCGTCCACATATGGAAGATTTTACAAAGAAAATGTTGCCGTCACCCTCACAAAAGGTGGAACATTGTTACTCTTGGGTTTGTATAAATTCATACAAGGTATATCATACAGTTGCATAAAATAGTAGTAAAGAGCTATAATTACGTCCAAGCATACTTTACTTTAGCAGTGTAAGTTTATACAGAAATGAAATATATATGTGAATATATAGATGAAACTATGAAGAAGAAGACCTATGGATTATACATCTAGCTTGAGAGGTGGCACCAATGTCGACTGTGTCAGTTTGTACTGGGTGCAAATGTGGATACATGCAAGTCTGACATTTATTGCCGTAGGGTCACTGTGATATCATTATGAAATAAATCCTTGGGTTTTATCCCCTGCAGTGCATTAGTAACCTTAACTGCAAGTCAAATCCTAAAATACAATTTGGCTTAAAAAAAAGTGGGGGTTGTGGAAGGAGAGATGTGTGTCACAGCTGCTATTAAAGGTTATCTTAATAGACCTGTTATTTTATTTTTCAAGCCTTTACTTTATAAAGCACTTTAAAAAATAATTCGACACAGACCAAAGTGAAGGGTACAACTTCAAAACTAGCATGAGCATACTAATGCAACAAAAAACACACAACATAAATAGCTTTATAGCTCATATACTTCATCTTAATCAGACACTACAGCAAAAGAGAAAACAAACGTCATTTAGTATTTAACATAACATCCCTCAATACAAAAGTGTTGGATGGATCAAACAACATAATGGAGATTTTTCCAGATATTGTAAACTTGTAAAGTTGGTACTGTGAGTGGAACTAGGGAAAGGCCATGGGGTCGTAAAGGCTTTTTCACATTATGATGGCAAATGAACATTTCCTCCGACACGGTTCGCACAAATCTTTGTTTCTTTTCAAAGCTTTGGTGCTTTTAGTCTGATTTACCGCACGGCATGCTTTTAATGTTCAGATAAGTAAGATTTTCTTGCATAAACCTGTACAATGAAGCTCTCATTCATGACTGGCTTTAAAAAAAAACAAACGTGTTTTTCCACCCTGCGTCAATGATTGGGGTCAGTAATGACGTGGGCTCTATTTTAGATATTTCCCTGCACGGCCATTAACAAATGCAGAAATTCTCACACCATTCCAGGAAATATTTTAATGCAGCGACAAAACATACATACATGTTTTTGATTGGCTTGCAGCAATCTGTTAAAATCGTATAACAGATCTTTTGTGTTGTGGTTGCCTTTGCCAAACATTCCTCTGACCTGGTTCCTCAGAACACTAAGCAGCATTTCCCCTGAATTGCCCCCGAATACTGCGTGGTCAAATAGAATCAACAAGTCTCCAGGCTCTCACGCCTCTTCTTTCTATGGCATTAGATGATAAAATTTGGTAAGGGCAGAAAATCGTGGGCACGGTCGTATGTTGAGTAAAAATGTGGGTCAGAGTCTTCTACACTGTGCAGGCCACAAGGAAAAAGTATAGTACACTTAATTGGGTTTCTAGACGCTGGCTCCGTGCGCTCGTTCCTTCCAGCTGAAATCGGTTTCACATGGCAGGGCTAGAAACATTTCCTGTTGGCAGAGCTAACGGCTCATTTTGTAAAGTTTCAGCAGCTATGTTAGGAGCCCATCCCTGAGCTCAGTGTGCTGCTGCTGCAGCCTCGCCAGGCTTTCAGGCCTCTGTCTGCTTATGCCCCACCGTACTGACCACAGTTGGCCTTTCTCACAAGCATGCATAAAGTACACACTGTGGTGACTGCAGTGTTCCCCTAATGTTGCTCAACAGGCTCGCTGTATTGCTGCTGTTCAAGATTTTTAGACTTTATCACTGTAGATTTAACAGATTTCAGAAGTTTCTGGATGTTGTATATATGTTTGTACTCCAGATATTATAATAATCATTGCTTTATAATGCTTTCTTAGTTCCTTATACTAGAGGTATTTTTTTTAAATGCTTTTGTATGGTCACATTGCCTTGTGTATCTTTTTAGATTGATTTTGTAGATAGTAATTTATCAATGTACTTATTTATAATTAATTCCACATAGTTTTGTAAGCTTAAAGCCTTGAGTTGTTTCGAGTTCTATTGTGTATCTGTTGATCTGTGGCGAGCTGCTGAATTCAATTGTCCGAACAGGCATAGAGACAATTGTATTGAATTGAATTAAGTAAGTTAAATTGAATTGATATTTTGCCTAAACAACTTCAGTGGTATCTACATCTTTTTTTCAGGTCGAGAGTTCTTTGTGGGCCTTTCCAAACGGACCAATCAGAGAGGAGCAGAGCTTCTAGCAGATGCCTTTAAGGTGAGTTTAAATGTTGCAATGGTGTAAAAAGTGGCAGTATCACAATTAATACTAAAAGCAAAGATTCTTCTCTCCAAATTAATGAAGTGAAAGTGTATGAAACAAGCGTACATAATTATGAACATAACTTAAATTAAGTTACTGAAATTAAATTAACTTAAATTGCATTAATTTATATTTATAGCCACAGCAGGGCAGCACAACAAACTGTAATTATAACACTGATGTATATTTAACTTTAACTTGTATCTCCTTTGTTGTCAATTTCATAATTGGTGGCAAACAAATCAAGTATTTTTAAGGAATGAGTCACCCTTTAAAATTGGTGAAATGTGACATCATTATTTATGTATGTGCTGTCAATTGAACTAATTTCAGGGAGAAGCACTGATAAAGGATGAGTGAGGCGATATTCTATATTTTACTTATTGTAAACAAATATCATGAAAGTACCAAAACCATCAATAAATTGATCCTCCACTAACTACTGAGGTATTTCCTGTGTACCCAGAGCCTGATGAGGCGTATTACTCCGTGCTAAAGATTTTCATTGTTATTCAAAAACTTAAACATAAAGACACATCAGTGACACCCAGCATTGCACTTAGTGTTACACAGAGTTCTCTCTATTGATGACAATGATACTACACTAGAACTATTCTGTCTGGCAACCACAAATACCATCCAGCGTACCAAATTGGCTACTATTTCCCCCTGTTTAGGTAACATTAGCAAAAAACTACAGTACCCAGCCTTTTATGGATTTATGTCATCTGTAGGAACAAATAAGCTTGAAGCTGAGTGCCAAAGTCAAGAAAGAGAAGTCCGAAAGTATTGAAACACGCTTTGTTGGTTTTGGTCTTCTCATGAGATTGCCGGCCTTATTCTTAAAGTAAAAGGCAACCGTAAGTGTATAAGCCTGGTCTATGTCTCCCCTGTTGCTGTCAATGATTTTGTATCTCACCAATTTTTATTTCCCCCCCCCCCCCCGACTACTTTCTGACTAAGGCCTGACCTTGATAGACCATAGTTGAGCTCAAAAATCACCAAAGGAAATATTCTGCTAAATATCCCAAACCTTGCTGCAACAACAGATTCAGGCAATGAAAGAATTTAAGCATGCAGCCTAGAAACAGGGTCATGGTGTGGGTCACAAACACTGACTGATTCTATCTATCGTGTCTACTGTTATTGTAATGTGAAGGAGTTTCATACTGCAGATTTACACGCATCGCTTTTGGATTTGCTCTGAGAGACTGTAACAAAAGAGGAAAGCCGGCTTACTCACAAGTTCGGGGGTCGGTCAAGGCGTTAAGAGTTCAACACATTAGGGTAACCTGAATGGCCTTATTGCTGTGCTTCCTTCTTCCAGTCTGTATCTGATTTGAGTTCCTCATTATGGGTTCCTCTGTGTTTTCTGTTATCTTTGATAAAACAGGACTTAATGATGCGTCACTGGTAAATGACACTAGGAAAAATCACTTGAGCGTCCATTATTGTTTTTTCCGTTTTTTATCAGATTGATTCCTCCTATCACGTTTTTTTTTCCTATCATTATCAAATTAAGGGTCACTTTGTTGCCAGGTTTGTTTATCACTCAACAACTGCATACAGATGTCGAACCTCTTTTCTTTATGGTCCTTGAAGAGGTTAAAGCAGATGGTGCTTTTGATTGAATGAGTTTGTTCAGGAAGAATAATAGAGGCCAAACCACTTCTTTTCATCTGCATTTAGAGGTGGTGACTCCAAATTTACCAATAAAACAAAAATATGAACATCGTTAAGGACGTCAACAGTGAAGCTCAGTGTGTTGTGCTTCTGGGTTGGTCAATGGGTCTTTTCAGATCACAACATAGCAGCAAACCAGCCCGTTAGTGCGGATGAAAAGCAACTCAGTCTCTCTCTTTACTCTCTTTATAAGAAAAGTATGACTCATACTTCTAATTTTGAACTGCAACTTCCTGTTTATGAATAAGGAGTGAATGAAGTTCAGATTCATAATTCCCACGTGTCCTTTTGTATCTTCTGAACAAGTGCCAAGGAAAGATTTCAGGAAAACGTTGGATGAAGTAATATAAGTTTTTGGCACGATGACCTGCCAAATACTATTCTGTTCATTCACAATAACTCTTTCAGTGAATCATAGCACTTTAATTTGAGCTAATGATACAGTACAAATATTGACTTGAAAAGCTTTAACATATATTTGAATGGAAAATGTCACAAAAGAGTGTAACTATGGACAATGTACACAATACTTCCAGTACCTCATAGGGTTTTATGAAGCTACGAGCTATAAAAAACAATTCAAAACACATTATGTCATTAAGAAAACACAGGGATGTCAGTTCCTAGGCACAAACCTAAATTTATAAGCTCATATAAATGTATTCACAGACATTCAGGAAGGAAGTTTGAAGTCTCACATAGTTCAAATTAATGCTTAGTATCACTTCAAGGTTTACACATCTCTGTAGGACTCAACTGGCTTTTTGTTACAAACGGTGAGTCTATGTATCAAATGCTCAATCAATCATGTTGAAAGTGGGAAATTCTTGCAGTCCCGTAAATCCAAAATCCAAACCAAGTCTGTGGTAAAACAATGTTGTTTCAGGAGGCTATGCTATAATTCTTCAAATATGGACCCCAGGCTTTAATTCTTGCTAACGAAAAGGCTTTCAACTAACACTTTAATGAAAGGGTCGGTCCTAAATCAGCTTCTGAAGGCTAAAGATAAATAGCTCACTATAGTTCCCTATGAAGTATTTAAAAAAATTATCCTAAATATAGACCAGATATCAATCAATATGGATGCAATTGCTGGCTGAATGCTTCTTTCATCCTCATTCTGAATAGTTTAGAGATTTAAAGGCAAACATATTTACGTAATGGGCCTCTTATTCTGAACCTACATGAACACTACATCTTCTGCCATAGCTTTGGTCATTTCACGTGAGAGATTTCTATATTTGTCTTCTTGTCCTCGCTTTTCTCATGGTTTTATAGTGGGCAGTGCAACAAAATGTGAGGACGGTTGTAGTGTTGTTTGCTTATGTTGCCATGCCTTCTGTTTATTAAAGGGTAACTTCACTGGTTTGTGAACCAGGACCCTATTTTTCCCATATTTTTTGTGTCTTAGTGACAAATGGGGACAACAGTTTTATTACTGGTCTGATATTGAGGGATAACGCTGTAAGTGAGCATCAATGTAACATTATGTCCACTAAAAGTGCTTGTTTTTGCCAGTGACAGGACCATGTTGTTGTTGTAAGTGTCTGACAACAATGTGGAAAGGATCCTACTGAGTAATAAAACGTTTTTCTTACCTTTAGTTTGTCCCGCTGAAGGTTAAGTCTTGTTGTAAAATCTGTATATCCTTATACTCTGGCTCAATTAAATGCGGAGGGCCATCGGACCTCATCCACATTGTCGAAACCATCTAAATATTCAGGCTTCACACTGAAAATCTTATCGATAACACTAAGCTATACTTTCTGTACTCCAACACAACAAACTCTGCTCAGCCAGCTTGCAGTGTTTCCACCGTTGTCACATCACCTCGCACCATTTCAGATCTTGACTTCTCCTTGAGCGAGACTCTAATAATTACAATCAAAGCCTCTCTTGGCAAAAACAAGCACTTTTAGTGGACGTTAATGACGGTGCCAGCTTGCATCGGCTGCCGTCTACAGCGCTCTCAATCAAAACTAAATACATTTCAGAAATTGTTGTTCCTATTTGTCATTCAGACACACAAACATGGGAAAACAGGGTCCAGATTGAAAAATACCAAAGTAACCCTTTAAATGTGATTAAACCGCACCCACACATCCTTAATAGATAACAAATGAATCATATTATATATTTTTCTAATCCTTAACTTTGATTGTTGCTTTGGTCATGAATATTAAATATTAAAGAGAATGTTTTAGGGCCTTTAAAGATTTTAAAGAAGCCTAAATGCCATGTTCAGGTGTGAATACCACTTTTATCAATAGCTTTTGTTTTGTTTTGTATAACTCGACATTTGGTATGCAACATCCTGCAGCAAAATAAAGCCCTTTCCAATCAACTTTCTTCAAGTTGCTCTGTAATAACACTATGAGCCCTGGGCTCAGTAACATCATCTCCCAGACACTCCTGCTGTTTCCGCCCTGAGCTACCTGCTATTTCATCTTAAAAGCCACTTCAGACACAATTTAATGATACTGTACAAACCACTACAGTGCTTTTCTATAAAAAAATATATATATTACATTTCACATCATTTCACGTACACCGACTGGAGCTGCAGTGCTTCGTTGTGGATTGTGAAGCATTGTCACAAAGGAAGGCTTGCACTGTGTCATCACACCTGTCTAATCCATTCCTGCCTTCATGAAGATTATCTTATATGGATGAAACTACATATGTATTTGTTTTCTAATAATTTATTCAGCCACATATGAAGAAACAAGGAAGCTTTACATTGTACAGATGTTTGTCATTGCAAATATTTGTGGGACAATATAACCACAGCTATGTTTTGAGTTTTGACATTGTTGCTGTACATAAGGTGTGTGTCTTTTTGTTAACACCGTAGGTAACTATACCTACAAAGAATAACAATAGTGAGGAAGCATTATGTCAGCAGATGTAGAGGCAGGCTCTTAATGTTTGACACAACAATCCCAAATTGATTCCTGCAGTTTGACCGTAGAGAGAGCTGCCATTAATTAAAATCATTTTTATCACTTGAGACTTACTTATATTCATATTTTGTTTTTCGCGTCACCTAATTGGATTGTGTTTTGCAGGACTACGCTGTGTCGACCGTGCCTGTGCTGGAAGGGCTGCACCTGAAAAGCTTCTGCAGTATGGGAGGACCAGGCCTTATTCTCATCGGCGCCAGTGAACCAGCACAGAAAACCCTCAAAGTATGGAGTTTGTGTATCTGTGTTGTATGTGCAGTAAAAGCATCATCTCATCGTTATGCCTCCCCCAGCTGTGGTCATAGAAACCACTGAATCAATGTAGTGGCATTGTTTTTATAATTATGACGCAGCTGATTTATTTTTTTTTGGTCGACTCTTGACTCGATACTGTTGGTATTAACAGCCCTGTCTTTTTTTTCTCCTGCTCTGCAAAGTATTCAGCAAGAATAACACTACAAGACAGGACATTACACGTGTTGATTCAGAGCAGACTCCCTTACTTACAACTCGATTGCTGCTTCCCACTGCAGGCACACTGAGACCACCTGTCACCTTAATCCTTCGTCATTAATTCATAGTCTCAGCAAAGCTAAGGGGATTGCCCCTGGCGCTCACACTCCAGCTTCAATTACAGAGGTATTCCATTTAACGGTTTGAGCTCATTACCGCATAAAAGGCTTCTGAATCGATCTAGCGCCATCGTAACAATAGTCCTAATAGAAATAAAACCCAGGGGATGCTGAAGGACTCGACATGAACAAGAGGCAGTTTACACCCCGACAGACGGATTTGTCGTTTCCTCAAAGAGAGTGATAAATCTCAGCCCATCCCTCTGATGGAATTATCCCTAAAATTCCCAAACATCAACACCTGAGACTCTATGTGAACCTTTCTCTCAGCACACAAGACTAAAATACAGTGCGATAATTGACGTTGTGTTTACACAGCATAGACACGCATGCATTTATGTTTATCTACATATGTATGAAGACATGCACACAAGCACACACACCCTTGGCCTTGACAGATCCTTTCTGGCAGGGCTCTTCATTTGCCTCCTAGTGTGATATCTCCCCCTACTGGCCCGACTTGACACAAGGTTACTTTAAGTCAAGTAAAAGCCACTTAGTAGTATCTCATGGGGAGATTCAAACCAGACCATCCGACAGCACATCCTAATGAAGCAAAGTACTTGAGACCAGCACGAGGTCAGACTTGTTGGTTTTGCATAGCTGTAGTGTACACAGGAAGTTAAGAATCTATACTTAAACGCATGCGCTAATTGATTTTATATTCCAGCACTAACTCGTTAACATTCCTGCCTGTTTGATCACCCCAGTGATTAGCTACTGGAGCGAGGAGGAGTGAGACGTAATGACAGACCGCTCGTTTTCTAATCACGGCTTACGTCACCTTCTCCTGCGCTAATTAGAAACTATTTTAAAGGACTTTTAATGACCCTGGATTTGTAATTAGGCAATGTTCTCTCTGTGGGGGGAGTGAGATAGTAAATGCTGTTTAAATTAATTAAAAGTGCTTGTTTTGGATGTGGATGCAGCTGTTATGGCAATAAGGCTCCTTGTTTGCGTACCCCTGGACAAAGACACCTTGTACAAATTAAGGTTGGAGCCCGACTAATTCTGTTTGTCTTTAGGGAGCTAGAATTGTGCTGCTATTAGATATTCAGACAAGAGACGAGACCCTGACCTGTTGGCAGTGTGGGTTTAGAGTAGAAGAACATCTGGTTAATAAGGCTGTTCGTTTACACTCTGTTTTGCTGTCTGTCTATATCTGGGGTGTGTGCTAAGAATGTGTGTAGTCCCCTGTCTGTGTTTAGCTCTCCCATGGATCAGAATACACGTCGACCGGATGGATTTCATCATCCATCTGCCGCTGTCGCTGCCAAGCTTCACTTATGAAGTTATCATCCTGAAATATCTGCAGCAACCACTTCCTGTTCTCTCACACACTATTCCCTCTCTATATTTGAGTCCCAGGGCAGACTGTAGATCACCAGTCACTCAGCCCTGTTTGATTCATGAGGTCATTGCTCACTACTGGTCAGAGTTTGATTTTTACCTCGAGGATGTTTGCACACTTGTTTTTATAGATAATGAGGCGACAACACGGTGAAGTTTATATTCAGGATGAGTTGTGTTTGATGACCAAATCCTGACCAAAACATTTACACAAGTAAGTTAAATATGAACATTTTTATACACTTTTGATATTTGATTCAAATTGATGGGTCACTGTATGTTTAATATCCTTCA